CCCCAAAACCCCAAAACCCCAAAACCCCAAAACCCCTGAAATTTTTATAAATATTGAAATTACGTCAGGGAAAAATGAAATTATACCTCATTAATGTAATAAGAGCAATATTAATCATCCTTAAATCCAAAAATCTAGATCAAGCCTTATGAAAGATTTACTTAATACTCTTATCTACAATTACATACATATTAAGGCAAAACCGAATTCCAAAATTAAAACTATCCCTTACCTTTATTTACATTACAATCCTATCCAAATTACTCAAAATTTTCCAAAAATCCCGTTCAAAATCCCATCCAAACCACTCCCCTCCAATCCCTCCTCCCAACCCTCTCACCCGACCTGCCTACAAGCCAAGAGCTCTCTTCCTCCACAAATCCCAAGGTAATTTCTGTTCCTAAACCCACAGAATCTTCCACATTAAAATATATGATAACGGGTGAGCCTGACCGAGGAATCATGAGCAAAGATTTGTGAAAGATGGAGGAACAGGAATTTGGGGATTTTGAAGATATTGAGATTTTAGTGCAGGTAGGGTTGGAGGTAATGTGTAGGAAGAGGTAGCCCCACTCGAGTTCTGAGAAATTATAAAGGTTCTCAAGGAAGAACCAATTTCGCGAATGTTTTGTGAACAAATTGAGGAAAACAAGCATGAAGAGGAAAAAGATAATGGAATTTTTGGAGTTAAGGTAAATTCAAATTTTGATTGGATTTTTGGAAAAAACAAGTTTCATGAATTATATTGAATGTAGGTTTGAAGAGTTGACTTTTCTGACAGTTTTGATGGGCTTATTGAGTTTATGAAGCAAGTGATCGACTTTGGTGTGATGAGACTTGCTTTTGAGGAATGAAGTCTGCCAATGATAACAGAAGATTGATGAGAACGTTTTGAATTCATCACACCTGATAATAAAATGAGGCCTCTTTATGGAATTTCATTTGATGCATGAACATTCCCAAATCCACCAGAGCTAAAAGACCCATCAATCCTTGAAAAAGACCCCCAAAATATTGACAAAGCAGACCAAATAGGCCTCTTACTCAACATCGAAGGGCTGCCTTCAGCCAAATACCTCGGAGAGCCTCCCTCAGAAATCAACGGAGGCATCAGCAGCATTGCTTTGAAGAACAATGGTTTCACAGAAGTAGAAATGGCTAAACTCAAAGTTTACTTGTGCTATGCTGAACACTTAATTATTTATGAACAAGAATAGGGAGGATGACTACTTTACGAGTAATTTCAATTGTGAGTCAGAGGAGTGGGGTTTTGGGGTTTTGGGGTTTTGGGGTTTTGGGG